GCAACCTATGCCGTCGCTGGCAACTCACAGCAGCCCAGATCTTGAGCTGTTGTTCAGCATCTTAGCTGTAGAGGGCAGTGTCACTGGCCCTCATATGTGGGATCCGAACTGGGGCCCTCTGGCGTCCCAAGCCAGCTCTTAACCATCACGCCACTCGGCTGACCCTATTGGGATTTTTAAATGTATTTCATGGGCTATGCAAGTATTGTATTTTAAACCTATAAATAATTATATTACTTATCTGTCTGCTAAAGAAATGAGGTGAGCCAGAGAGTGCTCAGTCACCTCTGACTATGGAAAGTTTCATTGGCACAGCTATTCCAGAAGAACTGGAAAACTAGTTTGCCTTTAACTTTGACTCTGTTGTAAAAAGTTGGATCCACAAAATTATGTTCTAATATGGTCATTGAAGAATTATGTGGGAAGTATGTTCTTTTGGACTTCAAAGGATCAGGCTAAGATCAAAAGCATTTTACCAGCAACAAGCCTTTGGGAAATTTTCATGATTTCTCACATAGGCTGAGGAACCAGCCAAGGTATTGGTCTGCAACTCCTGGAGCTGAGGAGTTACCCATATTTAGTAGTCAACATGCAGCTAAGGATGCAGGTGGGGTCCCACAGGTCATTCCTTTGGAGTACTGAAGTGGGCTTCTTAATACCTGTGTGAATGCTTAAGACACATTCAAATATACATAATTAACACCTATAAATCCAAAACATGAACAAAAGGCATCTCTCTTCTCAGGTCTTTCATTCCCCTCCTCTGGAATGAATCTAATTCAACCTTTCAAATCATTTCTGTTTTTCTTCCTTACCCTGCTTCTTGTCTCTAAACGTGGCCATCACCTTATGACCACACCTCTGCCCCTGGTCGTCTACATACTCTGTCTTTCAGAATTCCCTTCACTCCCAAGTCTTCCATTTTGACTTCTGTGTAGCTATTTCCTTGAATGCAAACTTTAGCCTGATCTTCCTAGTTCTAGGCCCATATCTTCAATTGCTCATTAGATATTTCCTCACTTTAAACTCAATATATAAAATTTTGTTTGTTTTTTTCTTCTTGATTTCTCCGTTTCTTTTAATGATGTCAACGTGCCTCTTTCATTCAGACTCAAAATCATGGAGTCATATTTTAATCTTCTCTCTCTAACGTTTAACATCCAATCACTCAAATTCTTCAAAATGCGTTTTGGTTTTTTTTGCATCTACTCTTCCCCTCCCATTCCTACCATCGCCACTTTAGTTCATTCAGATCTTCATCCTCTTATTGTCTTACTTCTGAGATGCCTATATTTTCATGATTTTACATACCTAAACTCAAGATTTATTTTTATAATCAATGTATACATTTAATGTAGAGTTTTGTTTTCTTTTTTACAAAAATCTCTTATGTCACGTGTCTTAGAGTTAAGCAAGTATGGCTTCTGAGACCTAGATGACTTTGCTTCTACTTGCCTTTCCAGCCTTCCTTCTCTTGCTTCTCTAATTTGTCCTGCACACTATTGCCTGATTAATCTGCTTAAAAGCCTGCTTTCATTAAGTCATTTCTTTGCTTAAGGAAAACTTCAGTGGTTCCCATCCCCTGCCTGCTATGCCTAGGGGATCAACTTGGGCATTGAAGGTTCCCAACAATCATGCCCTGACCTCTTCTTGTCCTTACCAACATTATCTCCCTACCCGGGTCTTTAGGCTCTCTCTGCCTCTGTTGTGTCGTTCCCCACAATTAGAAGGCTATTCCTCCGGCTACTTACACCCTACTGGCTTCAAGTCCTATCTCTGTTGTGAAACCTAATCTGAACACCCTATCTCAAAATAATCTCTCCCTCCTATAAACTCCTGTAGCGCTTTCCTTGACTATTCATTTCATACGTATTAGAAATTACCATCAGCAATTGATCTGATGTTTTATAAGGAAACTGAGAAAATCAGTCACATCAGTTACCTCACTCTATATGTCCTATTTCTCTCATCAGATCATACATTCCTTGAACTTGGCTCTGTTGGTGTTCTTGACTCCCTGATATATCTTTGAATCATGACTTATTTAAGCAGTACAGTCTAATAAGCATTGAGTCAAACGGGGAGATCACATCTCTTATCAAAGAGTCATTGTCACCTTGATTCTTTTCCCTCTGGTTAGTCCAAGTCATTTGTATTCAACTTCCCCTATCTACTCTCCTCCAGCACCCGAGTTTATGGTCTGAGTAGTACAACACTGGTGCTCAGTCTTTATAGTGAATCAAGTGTAAAAGAGAATGGTCAGTTGAAGAACCAGGAGAAACTCAGTGGTGTTATAAATTAGATGTGTGAAGGCAGAAAGTAACTGGAGGTGCAGCTAAGATGTGGGGTAAGGCCATGTCAGCGAGGGCCTTGAGTGATGTCATGCCAAGGGGGGTCAGACTTTCTTTCTCCTTGCTGGAATTGGGAGATTTTTTTCAATCAGGGGAGTGATATGATCAGATCTGCTTAATTAGAACTATGGAAGATGGATTGGGAAGAGGAGGAAGGACTAGAAGAAGGAAGACCAGTTAGGAATACAATTTCAGGACTGGAATTAAGGTGGTGGCGGTGGAAATTAAAAGCAAGAGGATGGAATCAAAAGGATGTGGACAGAGCTTGATGGCAGAGATGCGAGTGAAGGCATGATCGTGGAAGAGAACGACTGATGTTTCTACTTCAAAAAACTGGGTGACTGGCAATGTTCTTATCTGAAATAGAAGAGAAGCAGGTGCCGGAACAGGCTGGAGGAAGTGAGAAGATAATGAGCTCTGATTAGGGTCTACTGAATTTGCAGCACCTACAGGACTTTTTCATGAGATTGAGGATCAGGAGAAAGATATGGATTGCAGATACAGATTTGTGATAAGGCCTAATTCGCCCTCCAAAATTTACATCTATTTTGAAATACACGGCTACACCTAGCCCAAGGCACCCAGGTATGCTTCTTGTACTACTTGTTTCGCCAGATTTTTCTAAGGTCCCTGACTCCCAGTCTGTTATCTTTTATTCTTGGCCAGTTCAGAGCTCTTGTCATATTTTACATATGTCAGTTATCCAAGTCTTAGACAATTAGACTCTTAGACATTATTAACTTTAATTTTATAGGGTGTAAAGTTCTGTGGAAACCCAAGGACTTCAGTTTGTTGTGCTTTGTGTAAAAACTTCAGTGGTGCTTTCCTGGCTATGTCCCTTCTTTTCCAGCTCACTTTTCCCAGCTGCCCTGTGCTTTGCCTCAAGCTCCTTTTCTCTTAACCCTTTCTTTACACTTTTGGTCACTACCTCATTCTTGAAACTTTCTTCTTTCTGCGTTTTTATGACACCTCCTGATTTTCCGCCTACCTCCAGCCTCTCTGACTGCTATAATTCCTCAAACCTCTACTTAAAAATTAATGTTTTCTAGGGTTTCCTGTTTAGCCTTCCTTTCCTCTCATTTTAGTACACACCTAATGTGACCTCATCTACTTGCACGGCTTCACAAACAACCACTGAAAATTGTTTCTACATCTGAATCTCTAGCCCAGCCTTCTCAGCCCAAACCCAAACATTTAACTCCTTTTAGGACATCTTTATTTGGATGTGTCCCACAAGCACTTCAAATCAACTTGCCAAAACAAAGCTTTCTTCCGCTCGCTCCGTAAACTTTTCTCCATTCTAAATCTCAGTGAATGGTATTATCAGGCACCCAGGAATCTGGGAGACATCCTTGACTTCTCCTCCTTTATCTCTCAAATTCAGTCTGTCATGAAATCCTATCAATTTCACATTTTAAATGAGCATTTTCCTAGATGAGAACATGGTGTGGTTGAAGATAAGAAGGGAGTCAGAATAGAGAAGACTAGCCTGACAAGAGAAAAGTTTTGTTGAGGAATATTGGAAAATATGGTTGTATTATTAAGTGGGAGAATACCTCGGGACGTCACTTAAAGGCCACTTAGAGTATTTCCGAGTTGATGTGGTTGTAGACACACCAAACACTGGCAGATGGATGAAATGGTAATTTCAAGGCACATTTTAAAAAAATCAGTCACATGAGAAATGGGAGTCTAGTTACCTTAGTAACTAGAAACAACCATTTCTTAGATTTCACTGAAGACATGAGGAAAATAAAGCTAGGAGTTCCAACTAGGAGCTCAGAAAATCTGACCTTGAAATTAAATGTAAGTGCAAGCACTACTAAAAAAACAAAAAATACAAATTCCCATTGAAGAAGGCAAATTGAAATTGGGTATTGGGGGTACAGATAGAATAGACTGTGTTGAAAATAATTGCAAGAATGACATCATTTGATTGAACAGTGCTTGCAAGCCATTCCTTAAGTATAATCTTTAAATTGAATATGTATATTTTTAATCACGAAATTGAAATGTGATAATGATTTCCAAAAACATCTGAATTTCCACAGGCCTCAATAAAAAGTTTAGGTTAAATAAACTACATTATAATATAGCACACCATATGACATTGATATATTGACAAGCATGGTAATTTCCATTTTATTTGGATTAGATACTAAATTAACTCAGAGTAAGTGCATCCCCTCCCCAATGTGGTTAGTCAGTAGTTAAATAAGGGGGAAAAAGTACAAGCGAGGCAGTTCTACATACTATGTCTCAAAAGCAAAGGAAAAAAAAATAGTTGCAGCAAACTTTGCATTTTTGGAAATAAACTATATTTAGGAAGTAGAAGACTTCAAAAAGTAAAAGCAAATCCACTTTATCGGATGAACGCATGAGTCTGAAGGAAAGAGTTCATTTTCAGCTCTCAGTTTAGAAATGCTGAGACCATGAATTTGAGCACAGTAACGGAGAAAGAGATAGCAACCATAGAATGACGAATATGAGTTAACAGTAAACAAACAAACACACAAAAAAACCTTTAAAAATAAATGATGGATGTGATAGCTTTAAAACCAAAGGTTTCCTCTTTGTCCTTGTAATTCCCCTTTTGTTTCTGATTGCAATTTCAATGATAAAGCTTGACCGAATTGCTAAATTACTTACATGAGGTCCTTGAAAGCACAGCTCTCGGCCAGGATACACATTGATTTCCATCCCACTGCTCAAGCTCTGTCGCCGGGGTTGTTTGAATCATTGAGCAGGGCAGGCAGCTGTTTGTTCTCTTCCTTTAGCCGCCACCGAGCCGTCTTTAAAAGGCACCTGAATTCCAGACTAAATGTGGAGCCCCGCCTTTCTGTAAAGGAAGGAGAAAAAAACGTGGCTCTAAACTCTTGTATCCTGGACAGCAGCTTGAAAGTTAGGACAGTTACTGTCTGTTACTTCCCTGTCTTGAATAGACCGTGCTACCTGATGATTTTATTTTCCACTAGAAAAAATTCTGAGTTTCTTGAAGGTAGAAACAAAAATCTACAATCAAAATCTCAATAGCTGTTTTCATACACGGGTACATTCAAAACATGTATTGATATACTACTTTGAGCCAAAAAGTAAAATAAAAGATTATACTAGAGAATTTAAGGTCCCTAATAGTCACAGACCTCAACATATTTAAAACCCTTAGTTTCATGAGATTGAAGGAAAAAAATAAATATTGTTGCATTTTACCTAAACTACATTAGAATAGAAAACTGCTGCTACATTTTATAGAGGATATACCTTGCAGTTTTGGTGCTCAGGGACCCTGCTCCCCCCCCCAACCCCCCCCCAAGCCAGATTGGTGGCAAGGGATACAGGCTGATGATCTGCTTGTTTCCATTTCATTGGAATGTGTTCATTTGAACACATCACCAGCCTAGCCTTACCCACTACACTACTTTACACTCTACTTAAGAAAAGCTAAAATAAAAAGTAATCCAATTTTAAGAAGAGAACCCTATACTGCTGTTTTTAAAAACCAATGAACATGGCCGGCCGAGTGGCGCGATGGTTAAGAACTCGCTTGGGATGCCAGAGGGCCCCGTTTCGGATCCCACATATGAGGGCCAGTGACACTGCCCTCCACAGCTAAGATGCTGAACAACAGCTCAACCTGGAGCTGGGCT